ACATACCGGCGTCGACGATCGACGCCGGATGAGAGTGTCGGGGAGGACATGGGAGCGCCTAGCCGCTCCCCTCCCCCCCTCACGCCCTCCGGGCAGGAGGGGTCCTACCGGTTGCGGGTAAACTCTGACCTCTAACGGGGCGGGGGGAGGTCGCAACCGGGGGGAGGGCAAGAATAAGGGGGGCCACGTGCCCTGGCGGGCGGGCATTGCTCTCCCGTCCGGGGTGCCTGGGCTCCTCTCAAGGACGAAGACGTGACGTGTGGGGCCCTCTCACCGGGAGCCATAAGACACCGGTGAGAGGGCAACACCGTCCACGGAAGGGGGTTCCTCTCCTTCTGAGAGAAGCCTCCTAATGAGGGCCCCCCTCAGTGAACCGCCGAACCGGACCACCCTCTTGGGGGTCCGGGGGTTACGACACTAGGGGGGCGAGGGGCGATGGCTCGAGCGGGAGTTCTCGAGCCATGGCTTCGCCCCTCAAACTCTTTGAGAGGGCGCGGCGTGGGGTCGATGTCGCCCTGCGCCGCAACCGCGAGGAACCCGTACAATGACGGGGGAGGGTGTCGCCTTCCGCGGCACTCTCCCAAGGAGGATAAGGCGGGGGGGGCGGCCAGTCGGCATGGGATATTAGCATTCTGGCCGTTCGGGGTCCACTTCCCCGTTAGAGCTTCGGCTCGTATGTGGTAAGGGATGGCGACCCGGAATTCAAACGCCCGGTGGCATGGCACCGTTAGGAGAAGGGACTGCACGGGAGCTTCGGCGCTTCTCTTCCCACCATGCTCTGTGGCCCGACACGCCTGTCGGGTAGGCGGTTTTTGCCGCCCGGAGTTTCTCCCCCCTCCGTCCTGGGGGTGGGCTCGCTTCGGGGTTTCCTCTGGGGGGTTGGGGGGTGGGCGTCGGCGGCGGGGGCCGCATTGGAGGGTGCCGCGCGCGACTACCCGTGGGGCTCTGCCCGGAGGGTTTTCCGAGGGGCTTTGCCCGGAGGGGGTCGCGCCGGCGGAGGGATCGACATGGTCACCCGAGGGGCTTTGCCCGGAGGGTTGTCCCAAGGGGCTTTGCCGGAGGGGGCCATGTCGATCGGTCCTCGGGGCCCGCTCGTGGAGCGGTTCCCGGGGACAGGGAGGTGCCTCAGGGTGCTGGTTAGGGGTCTCCAGGCTTGGTAGCCTGGGTTCCGTCTCAGCGTCCCTGGGGTAGGCCGCACCCAGGCCGCTCGGACGTTTCCGAGGCAGGGCTGGGTCGGCGGAGACGGCCACGCGTGGTTACCCGAGGGGCGTAGCCCGGAGGGTTTTCCCAAGGGGCACTGCCCGGAGGGGACCACGCGGGTCGGCCGTCGAGGCCGCTCGGACATATTCCGAGGCGGGGCTCGACGGCGAGAGGGAAGTCGCAGGGTGCTGGTTGGAGAGCGTGCTCTCGTCCCAGCGTCCCTGCGACTTGCCATCCTCGGGCCGCTCGGACGTTTCCGAATCCGGGCCGAGGGTGGCGGAGAAGGCGCGCCGCGGTTACCCAAGGGGCATAGCCCGGAGGGGTTACCCAAGGGGCAGAGCCCGGAGGGTGCCGCGGCCGCCTGCCGCCGGGGCCGCTCGGACGTTTCCGAGGCGGGGCCCGGCGGCGAGAGTAGATATCTCCGGTCGGTCGGGACCGTTTTCTCTTCCGAACCGGCCGACCGGAGAGGCGCCTGCCCCTCGTCGAAAGCCTTCGACGAGGGGCGCCCACATAATGCTGGTCGCCACGGCGTGTAGGGCAGGGCCGGGGAGCGGCGACTCTGTCCAAAGCGTCCGTGGGGCCCCCGGGTGGCGCCGCCCGCTGCGGTACCCGCACAGTCGGAGGTGTGGGACCCCTGAAAGCCCGTGTGGGCGTCAAATCCCACACGGGTGTGTAAGGGGCTCGGAGTCTGGCCGGGGTGCGGTATCCCCCGGCCTAAGACATATGTCCCCTCCCCGGGGGAACTTGGGGCCCGGCCTTGGGGTGTGGCCGGTCATGTTTCGGGACACCCCTTGGCCGGTGGGGGTATACCCTGGGGGACGGAGCCGCAGCGGGAACGTGGGATTAATAACAAATGGAGAATTTAAACAAACACATAAATAAAAAAGAAGGTAAGGAGGTAAGACCTCACATGGAGGGGCAGCACTCGCTAGCCGAGATTCGTGCGGCACTGGAAGAGACCTCGGCCTTGCAGAGCTCTTCCGGAATGGTAAGGGAACTTACCGTAAGGTTGCTGAGATGTGACTCGCAACAAAGCACAGCATCATCGTCGGAAGACTCGTGTGTCGCCACGAGAACAAGGGGAAGAAGGGGCGTGTCACCCGCTTCGAGAACAACGGCTGGCAGGTCGAGGAGCCCCTCGAGAATAAGGAGGGCAAGAACAAGAGACGGGGCACCCTCTGAATGCAGCAGCAGATTTGACCTAGACTTTGACCAAATCAGCGCATGCACAGAAAGGGCAGAAATACCTTTCCTCCGCAAGCTCAATCAACAGATTGATCTTGAAATGGAAAGGCAAGGAGGGATACCGCAAACGTTGCCACCGCAAGGCACACAGGTGTGCGGAAATCAAGAAGAGGAAGGCGTGATCCCGGATGTGGAAGAGAGAAAAGAGATAGAGGGACCCGAAACCACAGGGGAACATAGGAAAAGAAGGAGGAGCAGGCCAAAAAGGAGAAAGAGATGGCCCCCCAAAAGGAAAGGGAAATATTAGACCCACTAATTAAGCCGAGTCTAAGCAAATCCTACAAGGACTCCTTGAAAGTATCAAGGATAAAGAGGAGGAGTATAAGGAAGCTCCGATTGCGGACCTGGAAGCCATGGTGTCCGAAAAGTGCACGGACATTTACAAGGTTGCCGTGCAATCGGGGAACATAGGGGTACCTTAACAAAAGCGGCAAAGGAGGCAGCGGCCGACATGTGTGCCGCTGCCACAGTGCTCGCTATAAAGGCACAAAACCTACCGGAGGAAAGTATAGAAAACCAGATGGCAGAGATGAGACACAAATGCATCGTCTCAGAATGGAGAATGCAGAGCTCCGCAAAATGGTGGAAAAGCTGAAAAGGCAAAACAAGAACAAAAAACCGCTCGACGAGGAGAGACGAGACATTTCTCTCGCTCGGGAAAGAGGGAAGAGGACGGAGGAATGGGTGAGGGAAAGCTCGCCTCTACCAGAGGATGGGGGAACCTCGGACATCGATACGATCCTGATGTCCGGGACTCCACTTCCACCCAAAGGTAGGGAGCCCTCCAAAAACAGGGAGAAGGGAACTTCTGGAGAGACGCTTCCACCCAAAGGTGGGGTCGCCGCAAATGTTACCAGGGAGAAGGAAATGGAGTGGAGGTCGGAGATATTTAGGAAGGAGGAGTTCCCTCTTCTGGGAAAGAGGAGGAGGGGAAATAGACCGGATCCACCCCCTCCCCTTCCTCCCCAACGAAGAGGGAAAATAGTGGAAATTAGGGAACAAGATAACGAGGAAGGGAAAGAGGAGCAATATAAAAAGGAAGCCCTCATAGCCATGGTAGAAGGAGTTTGCGAACGAATCATGGATAGAAGACTGGGAAATCTTGTTCCCAGCTTCGCCCAGAGGAAGGAGGCCAAGAAGAAGGCAAGGACGGAAACAATCGGAGGCAAAAAGACAAACCCGCCAGCCCCGAGAAAAGAACAAGCAGGGGCCAAATCAAGGGATAAAAACCCCCGATAACAACAACCCTCAATCCGCCGGCGAGGCCTGAGGTACCAAGGATTAAGGCCATAGAGAAGGTGTCGTTGAAACTCCCTAAAAGAACAACAGGGGAAAAGAGGGAAAAGGGAAGTGCAGTTTCCCACCAAAAAACCGCCCCGCAGCGGACACAACAACCAACCGAGGCGTGGACAACGGTTGTGTCCAGGAAAACTGCAAAGAAGGGAAAAGATAAGGAAGGAAAAGGGATGCCGCAGCAGCACCAGCAGCAGAGACCCCCCCCCTTCCTGCATCCCAGAAGAGACAGACGGAGCCATCCAAGAAGAGAAGAAGGGAGCCAAGAACGGCGGCGATTACAATAACATGCCCCCCGGGGGAATACGAGGCGACCATGGTGGAGGCCCGCCAAAAGATGGAGAGCCTCGAAAGCCTCGGTATCAGGGGGGGGCGTAAAGATCAGGAGAGCCGTCACCGGGGCTCTGATCTATGAGATCCCCGGAGAGAATGGGAACGAACTGGCGGATAAAATGGCCCTTAGACTCAGACAGGCCCTAGCTGGGAAAGAGGGCGTTAAGATACAGCGCCCCTCCAAAACAGCGGAGCTAAGATTGAGGGGGCTAGATGAGGCAGTTACCCCCTTGGAGATTAGAGAGGTAATCTCCAAGGACGGAAACTGCCAGGAGGAGGAAGTCTCCGTAGGAGAAATAAAGAGGGCACCTAGCGGAATAAAAATGGTCTGGGTCCGGTGCCCTCTAAAAGCGGCAAATACCATCGCCAAAAAAGCCCAGATCAAAATAGGCTGGGCGATGGTAAGAGCCGAATTATTGGACAATCGCCCCCTCCAATGTTATAAATGTTTGGAGGGAGGCCACGTTCGGGCAAGATGCCCGAACAAAGAGGACCGCAGCGGTAAATGCTACCGCTGCGGAGAGGACGGACATAGGGCCAGCACATGCGAGGCCCCGGTCCACTGCGCGGTGTGCGCGGACAAGAACCTCCCCGCTAACCACAGAACGGGGGGGAAGTCCTGCACACCGGTGCAAAAGGGAAGAAGGGGTGTCCCGCTGAATAAAGTGGTGGGAACCCCCAATAGACCCGGAGTCTCGCGAATGGAGGTGGAGCCTCTGCAGAGTGTCTCTCCCCCCCAAAACACCGGGGAGAGACCACTGGAGCAGAGGCCGCCGAGAACCAGAGGAGGAAGGAAGATGGCGGAGGAAGAAACTCCCTCCACCAGCCAAGGAACGGGGAAAAGGCAACGCCTAAAAGAGAATCTGGGGGGGAAGACGCCGACGCTATGGAAGTGGCGGAGGCAGGAGTGGCTGCTGGCATGATTGGTGATGGCCAATAAAATACTACAGGCCAACACCAATCATGCGAAGGGTGCCCAGGATCTCTTCGTCCACACTATGGCGGAGAGGTCCTGCGGCCTTGGTATTGTCGCGGAGCCCTACAAAGTACCAGACAAGCCCAACTGGGTGCGAAGTATCGAGGGCTCCGCGGCAATAGTGAGGAGAAACGCGCCGGACTCCCCCCCCCTGAATCTCATCGAGGCGGGTAAGAGGTTCGTCGTGGCTTCCTAGGGGCCCATCATTGTTATAGGAGTGTATCTCCCGCCGAGCCTAAAAAATAGGAAATTCGGCGGGAGATTAAGGATCTTGGAGAGAATGGTCGCCAAGCATCACCCCAAGCCGATAATGGTCGCGGAGGACTTCAATGCCAAGTCAACGGCATGGGGTTCCCCGCGCACCGACTGGCGGGGTGGTGAGGTGGAGGAATGGGCGGCGCAATGCGGCCTCACGCTCCTCAATGAGGGGAGCGTGAATACGTGCGTGCGGCGGCAGGGCGGGTCAATTGTGGACCTCACGTGGGTGCCCCATCCTGCAGCAAAGATGGCACGGAGCTGGAGAGTGGCGACGGAGGTCGAAACGTTATCCGACCATAGATATATAGAGATCTCCGTCGCCATGATCCCAAAGGAGGTCGCAGAGCGCCGCCGAATAAGAGAGGCGAACTCCAGGAGATGGGCCCTCAGGAAATTAGACGAGGACATGCTCATGGCGGCGATCAACGCCGCCATGATAGGGAAGGAAGAGGGGACCGGGGATTTGGAGGAGCACAGGGCATGGCTAACAAACGTCGTACTCCAAGCGTGCGACGTGGCCATGCCCAGAGTCAAAACCCGGTCTCCTAAACATGCTTATTGGTGGTCGGAAGAGATCGCCGAGTTGAGGCGGTCCACCGACCAAGCGAGGAGGAACATCAAGAGGAGGGCAAGGCACGCGCTACTGGACCCGGAAGGATTGGAGGACGCGTGGGACGCTTACAAAAATAGGAGGAACGACCTGCGCGCCTCCATCCGTTAAGCTAAGGCGAGGGCCTGGGAGGATCTGATTTCCTCCCTCGATGAGGACCCGTGGGGCCGTCCCTACAAAATAGTTTTGAACAAACTGAGGGGAGGGACGGCACCGTTAACGGAGTCATTGGACCCCCATCTGGTTGAAAATATCATAGGAGTCCTGTTCCCCCGAACAGCGGGTACACCAAACCCGATACAGGGGGGGAGCAGGACTGGGATGAAACAAAGATGGGTGTCACGGGAGGAGAGATCCGGGATGCCGTCAGGAGAATCAAGAAAGGGAAAGCCCCTGGACCTGACGGCATCCATGGAAGAATCTGGGCCCTCGCCTTCAAAGAGTTGGTCGAGCCCATGAGGCACCTGTACAACGGGTGCCTCAAGGAGGGCTCCTTCCCCCAGGAGTGGAAGAGGGCATCAATTGTCCTAATCCCTAAGGAAGGAAAACCTAGGGATTCGCCCTCGGCGTACAGGCCGATATGCCTGTTGGACGAGGCGGGAAAGATTCTCGAGAGAATCATCACTGCCCGTCTTGTCCATCACCTGTCCCGGGATGGTCCGAATCTAGACGATAAACAGTACGGCTTCCGGGCCGGGCGGTCAACTATTGACGCAATCTTGCGTGTCCGCTCGGTCTCGGAGGCCGTCGTGAGGGAAGGCGGGGTGTTGTTGGCGGTTTCGTTAGATATTTCGAACGCCTTCAACACCCTGCCGTGGCACCGGGTGGGGGATGCCCTGAAATATCACAGGGTTCCCCCTACCTGGTGTCCATAATTTCGGACTATTTCCGGGACAGAAGTCTGGTCTACGTAGACCAGAACGCTGAGGAGCGCAGGGTCGAAGTGTCGTGCGGGGTTCCGCAGGGGTCAGTATTGGGCCCCCTCATGTGAAACCTCGCATACGACGCGACCCTGAGGACAGCCCTCCCCTCTGGCTGTGATGTCATCTGCTATGCAGATGACACGCTGGTCATGGCCGGGGGAGACTCCTGGGAGGAAGCAGTAGCGCGTGCCAACATTGCTGTGGCTCGCGTCGTGCGCACGATAGGTGGAATCGGGTTGAAGGTGGCGCCCCAAAAAACGGAGGCCGTCTTTTTTCATGACGGCTCCCATGGGGCGCCTCCCAAAACCCGAATAATGGTGGGAAACACCCCTGTAGAGGTGGGGACCCGGATCAAATACTTGGGTCTCCACCTAGATGGCAAATGGGCCTTCGGCGAACACTTCCGCCAACTGACCCCGAAAGTGAACAAGGCAGCAATGGCGCTATGCCGACTGCTGCCAAATCTCGGGGGACCGGACGGAAGGGTTCGCCGACTCTACGCGGGAACTGTCCATTCGATGGTGATGTACGGAGCCCCCGTGTGGACGGCGAAAGTGGAGACCACCCGCCGACTAAAAGATGCTTTGCATCAGTTGCAAAGGCGGGTGGCCAACCGCATATGCCGGGGGTTCCGTACCGTGAGTTGGGCGGCTGTGGGGGTGCTCTCCGGAGTGCCCCCAATCGAGCTGTTAGCCCGCATGTACGCCGAGGTGTATAGGCGTACACGCGGGCTTCAGAGACAGGGAGTAGCCATCACGGACAGTATCCGGCGTGCCCTAAGGGCCCAGACCCGACGGCAACTTATGAGAGTTGGTCCGGCAGTTTGCGAGACCCGCGGCTGCCGGGGCGATGGACCGTCGGGGCCATCCAGCCCTGCCTGGAACAATGGCTGGGCAAGGCAAGGGGGGGTGTTTCCTACCGCATGACACAGGTGCTCACCGGACACGGATGTTTCGGGGAGTACCTGTGTCGAATCAAGAAGGAGCGCACGACACGATGCCACCATTGCGGCTGCGAGCGTGACACTGCCGGGCACACACTTCAAGAGTGTGTTGCCTGGGCGGAAGAAAGGGAGAAGCTCGCGGCCGCAATCGAGAGGGACCTCACATTGCCAGCGGTGGTCAAGGCAATGGTCACCGAGGAGGAGGCGTGGAAGGCGTTCTCCTCCTTCTGTGAGAAAGTGCTCTCACAGAAGGAGGAGGCAGAGAGAGAGGGAGAGGGCTGGGAGAGGTAACTCCCAGTCCTCGGAGGGTGAGGAGGAGGAAAAAGGTGAGGAGGAGGACGGGGACGGGCCCCCTCTTTTCCCGCCATCGGCGAGCTTGCTCGTCTGTGGTGGCGGGAATCGGGGGGGGCTCGCCCCTGGCAGCGCGGGGGATAGCCGCAGAGGAGGGGGCGGGCCCTCTCTTTCCCCGCAATTGGTGAGAGTACTCACCCGTGGTGGCGGGGGGCGGGAGAGTCCGCCATTTTCACACCCGCGTCGTCGTACGACGCGGGATGAGGTTGCCGGGGGGGGGTCGGGAACAACTAAGTCCCTGGACTCCCCCCAAAAGACTTCTCGAGAATCGGGGGCGTGGGTGCGCCGCCTTGCCTAGGCGGGGCGGCCGCGGCCACGCCCCCGAACGGGAAATTCCCCTGATTGCGGCCGAATCCTAACTCCCAAGGGAGCGGAGGGAGCCGTAATCGGGGGGACCGAGGGGGGGCCACGCGTCTTTGGCGGGCGGGCAATAGCACGTCCGCCTGGGGCGCCTAGGCCCCCTTCTATGACGGAGACGTGACGCGCGGGGCCCTCTCATCGGGAGCCACAAGGCACCGGTGGGAGGGCAACGCCGTCCACGAAGGGGGTTTCTCTCCTTCTGAGAGGAACCCTCTGGAGAGGGCCTCCGGGGCGAATGCCGAATCCCCACTCCCCTTGGGAGGGGGAGGGAGCACCGCTCCGGAGGCGGGGGGTGGCGGCTCGAGCGGGATACTCGAGCCGTGACCCCGCCCCCTAAACTCTTTGGGAGGGCGCGACGTGGGGTCGATACCGCCCTGCGTCGCAACCGCGAGGACCCCCGCACGATGCATTTCGCGGGGGGGGGAGAGTGTCGCCTTCAGCGGCACTCTCCCAAGGAGGGATTAGGCGGGGGGGCGGCCAGTCGGCATGGGATACCAGCATCCTGGCCGGCCCCCATTAACGGCCGTGAAGGTATCCGCAGTGGGTTTAGTGAGGTATGTCTTGAGCCCCCTGACCGATCCATTCGTGGATCGGCCAAGGGGAGCAAGAAGTCCCACATAACCATCCGCTCTCTTCCCGGAGAGCGGTGGTATCCATGAGGATTCCCACTGCGTTAAAAAAAAAAAAAAGGGTCGCCCAGTATGAGGCTATAACTCAGAGGCGAAGAGAACGCAAGGCGGAGAGCCCCGCTCGGCCCAGGGCCACTGTAGCCGCCGCCACGTACAATCGAGAGGAATGCTGTTGGCGCTGCAAACACTCGCCTAGACTGCAAGCGCCCCCCCCCCCCCCCCCAAAGTTCTGCTCCCGGTGCGGCAAGGACGGCGTGCTTACCCGGGATTGCTACCCGCCATCGGGAAACGCCGCCCGGACCGGGAACGTAGCGGCCGTAGGCCGGTCCAGCACCGAATAGAGTACAATCCCAGGCCGCACCTGCACATACAGATACATCAGACGGAGGTCCGAGCCCTGTTGGACTCCGGTTCCGAAATCTCCTTCATGGACGAGGAAACCGCTCAACGATGCCGGATCCCGATCCAACGTCTCGGCACGGGCGGAGACACGGTACGACTGGCCGACGAGACCACAACCAACGTCATCGGCACCGTCCGCCTGAGGTTCCGAGTCCAAGGACGACCCTGTCGTCACCGATTCGCAGTGCTGCCACAGTATATACAGTAGCGCAACTCTCCTGATTTTATGAGGTCCAAAACGGAGTGCGCATGAGCGAAATAGATAAGGTGGCCCTGATTGGCCTGTACTGTCACGTGATCTTCTTTCTCACTTTCTCTGTTTGTTGCTCTCTTTCTATTTAAATGACCGTTGCAATATTCCCTTTAAATGTTTGTTTCTAGAGTATATATGGGTTAGACCAGTGTATATTCAGAGCAGAAATTATTTTAACATAAGATATTAATATAAAAAAACTATTAATCTCGGCTCGAATTATTGTGTTACAATAAAAATAAAATCTCGACGGCAATCGGAGCCTATGCGGATGACATGCACAAAATTAATAAATTAAAATGAGATCTCAAGTCAAACTCATTTATTAAATTCTAAACGTTTCGACCCACTTCGGGTCTTCTTCAGTAGCTGCAAAATACAAAGAAACAAAAATAGAAGATAATCGGTACAATCAGAAAATTATAAAACTCGTATACATACAATCCGCAAATAAATTAAATATCATTCTCCTCCCTATTCAAACCGTCCGGCCGTCGGAGTGTCTCCCTAACGGTGACCATCGTCAGGAAGGAAGCGGAGCAGTGACTCCCTTACCAACACTAATCAACATGGTATAAATTAAACGTAGAACAATTCACAAGAATTAAAAATTAAGAACCGGGAAGAACACTCACCCCGACAGCAAAAACAGAGAGAAGACGATGCTACACGTGACACATCACTCTAACGACTGTGCGGTATTCTACCTCGACACAGTCGATACATATATACGCAAAAAACAAATATAAAAATAAAATATGAAAATAAAAATAAAAATAAAAACAACTAAACTAATCGGCACTCATGTCAAAAGTCTAACAAAAAAACCCGGCTATGTAAAATCACAAAGCTAGATTTTGGTAAATTTTTCTATTAACAGATCAAGATTCTCGTTTAATTTATCAGTGTCGCTATGTAAATTTAAACTATTCCTCTGACGTTTTATGTGGATCATTTCGGATATCAAACGTTTACCTAAAAAAGGCTCCTCGTCTAAGACTTTTACATCCTCCCAATTAAATTCATGGTTCAATAATCTATGTTCCGATATGACTGATAATTGTGACGCGTTTCTTTTTATGTTGTTGCGATGTTCTTTCATCCTAGTTTTCAACAATCTACCCGTCTGCCCTACGTACGACGCATCACAATCCATACAATCAATTTTATAAACAAGGATAAGTTACCAAGAGAACTCCATAATAATGTAGTTTATAAAATTGATTGTATGGATTGTGATGCGTCGTACGTAGGGCAGACGGGTAGATTGTTGAAAACTGGGATGAAAGAACATCGCAACAACATAAAAAGAAACGCGTCACAATTATCAGTCATATCGGAACATAGATTATTGAACCATGAATTTAATTGGGAGGATGTAAAAGTCTTAGACGAGGAGCCTTTTTTAGGTAAACGTTTGATATCCGAAATGATCCACATAAAACGGCAGAGGAATAGTTTAAATTTACATAGCGACACTGATAAATTAAACGAGAATTTTGATCTGTTAATAGAAAAATTTACCAAAATCTAGCTTTGTGATTATACATAGCCGGGTTTTTTTATTAGACCTTTGACATGAGTGCCGATAAGTTTAGTTGTTTTTATTTTTATTTTCATATTTTATTTTTATATTTTTATATTTGTTTTTTGCGTATATATGTATCGACTGTGTCGAGGTAGAATACCGCACAGTCGTTAGAGTGATGTGTCACGTGTAGCATCGTCTTCTCTCTGTTTTTGCTGTCGGGGTGAGTGTTCTTCCCGGTTCTTAATTTTTAATTCTTGTGAATTGTTCTACGTTTAATTTATACCATGTTGATTAGTGTTGGTAAGGGAGTCACTGCTCCGCTTCCTTCCTGACGATGGTCACCGTTAGGGAGACACTCCGACGGCCGGACGGTTTGAATAGGGAGGAGAATGATATTTAATTTATTTGCGGATTGTATGTATACGAGTTTTATAATTTTCTGATTGTACCGATTATCTTCTATTTTTGTTTCTTTGTATTTTGCAGCTACTGAAGAAGACCCGAAGTGGGTCGAAACGTTTAGAATTTAATAAATGAGTTTGACTTGAGATCTCATTTTAATTTATTAATTTTGTGCATGTCATCCGCATAGGCTCCGATTGCCGTCGAGATTTTATTTATAAGATATTAATATATTCTTTTTCTTTATTAAATAGATTTGTTTATTTTCCACATTTTAAATTAATTTTTTAGACATATGCATATGTCAATTTTTTTCTCAGGTGCATATATTCACTCATTTCATTTAACAATATATTTTTTGAAATTATTTTACACTTGCATATACATATATATACTATATACAATATTATATTTAATACAAATATAATTATCTTATTTATATATGTATTATGTTGCTTTTATGTAAATATAATATGTTGCCAGATTATATTTTTTTGTTCATTTTATTTTAAGTAAATTATATATTACATTAATTTTTATAATATTTTTACAACTAATAATATTTTATAAGTATAATATATTTATATATATTGGTAGATTTCTTTATATATATAGATTTTATGTATTTTAAGGTTAATTAATTACTATCGTTCATTTTTCCAAATTTTTATATATTTTTAGCTTTTTCCAATATATTAACAATTTATTTGTAGTAACTTTCATTCAGTTTAGATTAGTTTATCGTAATAGTGAGGCCGACGTCCCATGGAGCGGATTACGCGAAAGCGGAACCAGCGGATCGCCAATCACGGAATCGTTCCGATGGAACTCATCGATAAGTTCTATCGGAACGATTCCGTGATTGGCGATCCGCTGGTTCCGCTTCCGCATAATCTGCTCCATGGAACGCCGGCCTGAAGTGTGACAGAACGGAAAATAAAGAATAAAAAGAGAATAGAATAGAATAGAATAAAGCTTTATTTGTAGGCGCCCTGGGACGAATCCCCTCAGGCGAAAGAAGAAAGAGAAGTTCAGATGGCGATACTGGGCAACTTAACTATTTCGCACATGCGCACTCCGTTTTGGCCCTCACTGACATTAAAAGTGCCGACAGAGAGTTGCGCTACTGTATATACTGTGGTGCTGCCTCGACTCAGCAGCCCGATACTGATTGGCATCGACCTGTGCTAAGCTGGGGATCGGCCTGGCACCAACCACCACACGCCGGGCCACAAGACATACCGCCACTAGCGCCAACGTCACCGCCTTGAGTACCGGGGTGACCAAGGAGAACACCCGACTGCAGGCCTTCCTGGCCGCCGAGCTGCCTCTCTTCGACGCCATCCGGGGCCCCACCGACCGT